GTACCAGAAAAAGGAAGAGAAATAAAATAGAAACTCAGACTTGTAGCCTTTCTAATAGCCCCAGACCTGTTTCTTCACAGAAAGCAAGAGTGACATTGGAGGTGACGGTTGTTCCTAGATCTTGGACACACCTCTCCACACTCACAGGTTGCTGGGCTGTCTGGCCTGTTGTCTCAGATGAGCTTGGCTCTGCCCGCCTGCTGTCACCCAGTCTCTGTAGCTCCAGAGTGTGAGCTTACATGGAGAAGGCCCCTGATCTGTTTCCTGTGACTCAGGACACTTGCTCCCAGCCAGGCTGAGAGCACCTGGCTGTACCGCTGTCTCATGGTGTTTTCCCTTTAAATGTTCAATTCAGGAAGGCTATCTCTCTGTGCCCCCTGTCAGACACCCGTGTCAGCATTTTCTTGTCTTTCTCCCTGAATCTGGCAGGCTGCTGTGTTTTTCCTGGAAACTTGGCACCCTTGGGGAGCATGGACGCTATCACCTGTGAGGTGCCTTCTGGAAACACCCACAAAGGCAGCAGCTGGAGGTCAGTGTCTGAAGGAGAACCATTTGAGTATCACTTCCCAGGATTACTTTGGGAGATGTGTCCAAGGAAGTATTAAGCCCCAGAGGGTACAAGGGTCTCTTCCTGGTCTTCTGTCACACCACTGAAATGTTCCTGTCACTGACCCAGGAGCTGATGGTCTCCCATACATGGCTAGGTCACAGGATTGTTGGTCACAGATTTCAAGGATAAAACTAACAAGAGGACATAGGTGTGGTCAGCAGGGCTTCCAGCGGCAGTCCTGAAGGTCCTGGAAAGCCCCTCGCCCCCAGATCTACTCACTGAAATGTTTTTTAAGTGATGAAAAAGCTTAGAAACTCTAAATTTCATTTTAAAACTGTTGAGACAGAACCATGCCTTTGATTTTATTCTAAAGAGGACGCTTGCTTTCTTTATGTGGGTCACTAACAGGGCATTGATTTGTCATCTTATAAAGCTTGGGATGTGATTAATTAATTGGTGTTTAAAAAGCATTAAAAGACACCTGGATGTCTGGCTTGCTGAGGCACAGAGCATGTTTGCCTCTACAGGGAGCCAGCAGGTTCCTGGTTTCCCACAGGGAAGTGTCTTCAGGAGACGGAAGGCAGAAGACAGAGAAGGAAGACAAGCTCAGTCATTTTCAAAGAGAGTTAGGCCATGTGGATGGATAGGTGGCTGCCATGCCAAAGTCTTAAGCATATTTATTTATTCTCTCTCTTTTTCTCTCTTTTTCTTTCTCTCTCTCTCTCTCTCTCTCTCTCTCTCTCTCTCTCTCTCTCTCTGTAATATATATATAGTTGGTTCTGTCCTCTAACCATGTGAGCTCTGGGGATCAAACTCAGATCTCTAGACTTGATGGTAAGTTCCTTTATCCTCTGAGCCATCTTGCTGACCCTTATGTTTATTGTAAATGCTTATTTGAAAGTATATTTTCTATGGTCTGGAATAGGTCTTTCCTGTCAGGTTTGTGTACTGGAAGTTTGGTCCGCAGTGTGATGGTGGAAGTTTTGAGAGGCAGGACCTTACGTGGGCAGCTGAAGCATGATTGATTTTTGTAGAGGGGATGAACACTGGGACTGGGAACTGAATTTGGTCTCAGAGGTTTCAAGAGTTACTGTAAAAGCAAGCTTAGGCCTTGTCTCTTGGTCCCGCTCACAATGGATGTCACCTGCCATGTACTGATGCATCGCTAGACACCAGCATCACACTATTTAGACTTTCTAGACACCAGAACTATGAACCAAGTAAACCTCTTCTCTTCATGCATTACCTAGGGCCAGATGCTGAGTTATAGCAACACAAAATGGACAAAGACAACTTGTTACACACATGCAAGGATGAAGAACTCTCCTGATTTAGACACAATGCTCAGACAGTTAGTAAATGCTCAGCCACACTGGGACAAGTTCAATATAAGACACTAAGGTGGGCTTGTGAGATGGCTCAGAGGTTAAGAACACTGACTGCTCTCCCAGAGGTCATGAGTTCAAATCCCAGCAACCACACGGTGGCTCACAACCATCACTAATGAGATCTGATGCCCTCATATGAGTGAGAGGGGGTCCAGAGCGAGTGGAGGCCCAGAGCAAGTGGGGTTGGAGCAAGAGGGAGAAAGGAAGGGGGAAAAAAAGACACTAAGGTAAAAGGAGAAAATACAATGTGATCCTGACCAGGCAAAGTCACATTGTGTCTACATTCATTTCTGTGACCATCTAGAGCTAAACAGAAGAAATTCCAATGTGAAATACATCAAAACAATGCTGAATTTTACTCTACCATTACGATGTATTTTTCATAGTTCTTTAGTGAAAATATATTCCTCTAAAATTCTATATTGAAACAAAGAAAGATGCTATGTATCTTGTAACTGAAGTTGGCCTCTCACTAAGAGGACTAAGGAACCGTGAAAACCAATGCCAGACGTGGGAAGAGAACTGTGCAGGAGCTTCTTACTAAGGGGAGGATTAAATATCTCTCTGAGTGCTTTGTAATCTCGATCGACTCTGACAAATGAATCTTGGGCCAAGGCTCCAAGTCAGCAAATGGAAGCTATGGAGTCGATTTTGGGTTTTGTAATTTGGGGATGTGGGGACACCTGAGGCTTCCTGGGGTGGTGGGAAGGACAAATTCCCAGGTGGTATAAATTCTCTGCAGGGCATGAAAGTGCCTTCTTTCTGCATAGTCTCCTGACTTCCACTGGGATCTTCTAAAAAGGTGAGTGATCTTTTTCAAACAGTCTCATGTTTGACATCATACAGTGGTTTCTGTTCCTCTCTTCTCCTCGCCTGTATTGTTAAGAATACATATACATATACATATACATATATATATATAAAATGTGTGTGTGTATGTATGTGTGTATATAGATATACTCCTACATATTATATAATATATTACATATTAAATATATTCTATATAAGATATATAAATACATAAATTAATATATATTCTTATATACACACAGAGCACAGGACTTGGAAAGCAAACATATGTCACTTCATAACTGATTCTTTTTTTACCTTGTCTGTCATTAAAGCTCCCTTCTATGAGGTTTATTCTACACTAGAGAGCCCGAGAGCCACTCCAGTCTGCTCCAGACTGTTTCCTGCCTCCTTTAGAACATCCTGCTGAACTGGCTAACACAAAAGAAGGCAGATGCTTTTCTTGTTTGCAACAGGGACAAGTAAAGATTTGATTTCACATAATATTATACTAGCAATTAAAAATGTATCCCAGTTAGAGTAAGAAACAAACCCATAGACGGTCAGGTTTTTGAATTTTACGTTTACATTGGTTTGGTCCAGACTTTCAGAGCCCTCCTTCCCACCCCCTACTCAGAAGCTCTTTAATTTCACCTGCTCCTGATTCTTGGCGGGCTTCAGAATGGAATGTCTAATGCTTCTGGCAATGATGTTTTATTAGGGGATGGTGCTCTGTTATTAGATTGCATTTTCTTATTTCCTTCAGATCCAGTGCACCTGATATTGGAGGGCTCTCCCTATGGGCTGAGATTGAGAGAGGCTGCCAGGGAGGCGTTTTTATTATTTTTGTGGGTGCCTATGCAGCTAGATGAGGATCCCAAGCTGGACAGACTAGTGGACAGGTGGCATTGCTATGTTCTAACTGGTAGAGCCCACCGTCCATGTGCCCACTAAGTCCCTTTTGCTGTAGACTGGAGGACATAGCTGGTGTTCTTCTGTCTGCTCCACAATATCAGAAGGCATTTAGCACAGCGATCCTGGCCTCCTCACACAGCGGATCTAGTTTGCCATCACCCCCTAGAAAAATAGAAAACACTTTTTGGCAAGCTTTATGTAAAAATTGATATAACATTAAGTATGCCTTGAGTTTTCACCAGCAGTATATTTTCAAAAGCAGGCATGTAAACTGTTAAGCAGCCTCTAGCAGCTCTGGTGGAGTGCTGAAGCTCTTGCTCTTAGGCACAGGGAGGCAGATGTGGTGCCAGTCTACGGGGCCAGAAATGCCCCAGGGCAGAGAAATGTGCAGACTATAGCTGATCATGCCATATCCTGTGGGTCTTCTGAGTCTAACGTCTCAGAAATCTAGATAAAGTAAACAAAATAGAACAAAAATCATGTTGAAGGAAAATAATAATAAGACATACGTTGCTAATGTGAAAAAAGGAAACTAAACACAAAACCTCACTTTCTTCCAATTGTATCTGAAGGCTGGGGTCAGCTTTGTTTTCTTTCCTCTTCTGTCTACAGTGTTAGAGGAAGAACCTGGGCAGCACAACACTGCACTCTGTGTGAGTGATGTTTGTGTGTCGTGTGTATGTGTGTGTGTTTGTGTGTATGTGTGTGTGGTGTTTGTATCTGGTGTGTATGTTTGGTGTGTGCATGTGTATTTGTGTGTTTCTATGTGTGGGGTGTATGCCAGTGTGTGTATATGTGCTGTGTGTGTCAGGATATATGTGTGTTTGTGTGAGTGTGCATGATGTATCAGTGTGTGTGTGTGTCAGGATGTATGTGTAGTGTGTGTGTATGAGTATGTATGTGGTATGTGTGTGTATGGTATGTGTTAGTGTATGTTATGTGTGATTGTGTGTTTGTGTGTATATGGTATGTGTGAGTGGTGTGTGTATGTGTTTGTGTGTATATGGTGTGTGTGAATGTGTGGCGTGTGTGTGAGCGCATGCTCATACAAGTGCATACCTGCCAACACACACATGCTGTCTTTCATGTGCCACAGGGAAGAGCGCTCTTGAAGTAAGTTTGAAATGCAGAAAGAACCCCAGTTTGATTATAGGCATGGCTCCCTGACCATTTCCACTAGAAATGGAGGGACTGCTCAGAAAAGGCTGAGGGCTGGGCAGAGGCCTCCACGGCCTTACCGAACTCCAGGTCTTGGATATCACATTGAAAGACTGTCTCTTCATTTACCACAAGCTCCACCAGATTCCAGTCTTCTATCTGCTCCAGGATGATCTGATGCCCATCTTTGGCCAACACAGCTGGAAAATCAAGAGGGGCGTGGCTACATTAGCCGACATCCATGTCCTCACGGATGACAGCAGCTTGTCTCCTCCCTGGTAGTTCTCAGTCATAAACTAGTCACCTGGTGGGCACTTAGCTGGTCCCTGGCCTCTGTGTGTCCTTACGGTCTCAGGAAAGCAAAGACAGACATCCAAGTTACACAGGCCTTGCTTGTGAACGTCCTCAGACCTGGAGGAACTGTTAGGAACTATTCCATCTCTTGGAAGTGGCCGCTGAGTGTCCCAGAGCTCAGCATCATGGAGACAGAGCTCAGTATTGGAGGGAACCCAGGATCCAGCAACTTCTTTTCCCGCTGATGGAAATATAATTTGGTTGCCTTTCCAGAGGGCAATTTATAGCAAAGGCATAACCCTTCAAAAACATGTTTCAGGAACATTCTATTTAAAAGAAATCTCGTAAGGAAAAAAATACAGGCAGGTTTTTGCAACAAGACGTTCTTTCTATAATACCAAAACAAATCCGATAATAAAAGGTTGATGGAACAGTGCTATGTGTACGTAATGAGAGTTTAATTTGGAAATTTAAAGCTATAGGCTGGTGAGATGGCTCACTGGGTAAGGATGCTTTCTGCCGAGACTCACAGCCTGAATTCAATCCCAGAAACCCATGTCATAGAGGGAGAGAACCAACTCTTAGAATTGTCCACTCGTGTTCACATGTGTGTCATGATGTACATAGGTGTGCCCATGCACACGCGTGCACATACACACAATAGGTAAATACATATGGAAAAAAATAGGAACTTAGCTAGCTTGGTGGTAGTCTCTCGGGACCTTTGAGGAATGAGAAACAGTCCAGTCTGATAGAGGATGGTAGATAGCAAGAGAGTTGGGTCTGTTTTGCCCTTGACCTCAAAGAGTCGGCAAAGGTGCCTAAGTGAAGAGCTGTGAGTTAGCCTGGGGGGGGGGGGGGCACGCCTTTAATCTTAGTACTCGGGAGGCAGAGGCAGGTGGATCTCTGAATTCGAGGCCAGCCTGGTCTACAGAATGAGTTCCAGGACAGCCAGGGCTATACACACACACACACACACACACACACACACACACACACGCATGCACACAAAATCCTGTCTGAAAAACCAAAGCAAGAAAAAAGGAACTTTTAAAAATAGTAATACTTGTGATACGAACAAAAATCAGAATATAAATATATATAATATATTAAGGACATATACTCAATATTAATTAGGCTATGTATGTAAGAAAGAAGAGGCCTGTGTGGTGGCACACTTATAATCCCAGATATAAGGGAAACCGAGGCAGAGAATATTGAGTTAGAGGCCAGCCTGGGCTACAAAATGAGAGCCTGTCTCAAAATTCAAGAAAAAGAGCAGGAAAGGGAGCTCCGTGGTTCTTCCTCTCTCGGAGGTGAGATTATGTAAAACGTTTACTTATTCTCTCAGCACTTCCCACATTGTCTATAATAATCAAAAAACTTTTAAGAAAAAAACGGATTTATTAATCTCACCTTTGAGTCTGAGATTTACATCCAGTGGCCCCTTCCTACAAGCCACTCGCAGGTAATTTGTTAAGACAATCTTTTTTTTCCCCCTCCGCGAAGGATTGAACCTAGGTCTTAGGCCAGCTAGGCAATTCTCTACTACAGCCCCGCCCACTCCATCTCGTGTGGTTAGCACACATGGCGCCCCGACAGCTAGTCTCCCCAGCCATTTTCCCTGGTTCCCATGATGCTCTCCTGGCCCCATGCATCCTAGAGCTGGTGAGCCACGGTTCACTTTTAGCTTTCGGCTTGCTCCGCTGAGCATTTGGGTTAGAAGGAACAAGGAGTCAGATGGGGTCGTGTTTTTAAAAAGTCTTAGCATTCCAATCAGTTTTTGGAGGGGGAGAGCAGACATTTCTGTCAGTTAATTGCGTTTAATTACAGAGACAATCGCTGTTTCAGAATGTTGTTGTGTCCACTTCCCCGTCCTTCAATCAGTTCAAGAACATCCAGCCCCAGCCGTGAGCCTTTTAATTGCCTAATTTGGATTTCACTTCTGGAAAGAAACTTGAGAAAGACTCGGTGAGGGTCTCCATTAACACAATCACGCTCCGCAGGGACCCAGGGCTGGCCCTAATTGACCTACCTCAGCTAATGCCTCTCTCCAAAGAACTCCCGCGTCCTTTCTTTGGCGTGTTTGTGCTATTGTATCCTGTTTTAGTGTCTTGATCTTAAATATCTTTGAAGAGGGCACTCGGTGGCTTGTTTAACTGGAAGTGGTCCAGCTGGTTTGGAAGGACAGTGCATCAACTAGGGAAACGTGATGTTAGTCCATGGGTAGGGATTTCTGGTCTCACCTTCCACTGCCCATTGCACCACTCTCCCCAACAGGAAGTAGCTACATGTGGGAAGGTGCACTGTGGCTTCTAGGACCTAGACGTTGCCTGGTCTGTAGACCCTCCTGGGGAGTGGACTGGAATTTGAAAGGGATGGCACTGTAGTCTAGCTATCTCTCTGCTCCAGTCTCCTAAGGTTAGCTTTCTAAGGCTCGAGGGACTCTGAGAGAAGAGGAGACGAGGACAAGGCAGATGGTCCAGCAAGAGACATCAGGAGGCACGCACTTCCCAGCTGCCAAAGACTTGTCCCTGAAAGGCTGGTCTGATGGAAACTCAGGTTCTGCCTGGCTTTGGAGTATTTTATAGAGACAGTGTTACTCTTCCAGGACAAGGTGTAACTGAGAATGGATTTGATCCACAAAACAAGCCACCCCATGGAGTTGAGGGGTGAATGGTGAGGGTTCCCCTGAGCAACTGCAGCAGACAAGAAGGAATCTTCTCTCTCTAGAGGGGTTGCCAGACACAGGCACCTGAACTCTTTAAGGACAGGTCTCTTGACCTTCCTGCAGGTACCTGGGGTCATCACAGGCTCCCCAAAGCAGCAAACTCAGAATGGTGCTGAGTACCACCACCTTCCCTTGTGGTTACTGGCTACCTGTCTGATTTGTACTCTAGTGACAACTACCTCAGAGTCTGTCACACTATCAGCCTCAGGACTTATCCCTTCCTGTCAGAGAGGAGGCAGCAAGCTCGACTGTAGCCTGGCTGGCGCAGGCTTAAGGGATAAGAGAAACGACCTCCCCGGAATTCCTGCAGTTCACCCAAATGCCACCACTCGGCATGGAGGGGGACATGATTTCCTGGGCTGCTACTGGGTTGTCTATTCAAAGAAAGGTCAGATAAATATGTTCCCCGAAACAAAGTCTATGCACAGGCAGTGGCTTAAACTCCAGCATAAATCAGCCAGAAGTGCTAAGCCACCCGCAGAACACCCACCTCTTTGAAGTGGCACCTCATTCCTCACTGGGAATCCGGATGAAGTGCAGGGACAGGGGAGAGGCTCTGTCCTCCCCGAGCTGGCAGAGTTGTGCACCATCTGTAGATGATGTCAATGCGGCTGGTACACTGACAGCTCGCTTTCCTTCCTTTACTCAGAGCAGACATGATGCCAGTGACCATTAATGAGCACAGCCAATGCATCGCCAGGGAAGGGAGGATGGCACTTGGGTGCCTTGACTAAATAAAGATGGATTCCATTTTTAATGGTCAGGTCCAGTGCCTTCTAATTCCTTTGAGGGTGTTGTTTGGCAGACTCAAGTACAGTAGATGAGGAGAAACCACCGCCAGGGCAATTACTTAGGACTCTTTTAAGCACTGGTTTAGTAGAGACTTTTTTTTTTTTCTGAGCCATTATAATTCATGAATAATAAAGAACAAGAGTGCTCAGATTGCTTAGGGCATGGTACGTTCAGAAAAGATCAGGCATCCTTCCAAAGACAGCGGGGCTTCGGGAAACGATAAAGAGCTATGATTTTTAAAAGTCATACGGAGGATTCAGAAGCAGATCCTACAGAGGAGGGCCTGCAAGAGGTCTGCTCGATCTGATGCTAGCACTGGGTAAAAAGTGAGAGAGTGGGGGTGGGGCGGGGGAGTAAATGTTCCCTGCTTTGTTGCTATTAACACCCTGGCCCTTGTCACCAGGTCCTCTGTAAATGTTGGCAGCTGTTATTAGATGCGTTATCAAGCACGGGTGTACACAGCTTACTTTACAAATCAGCCACCCGCAGATACCTTACAAACCTTGACAGCCATCAAAATGCACCCCAGGACTTCCTCAAAGTACCATTGCCTCCCCAAGAGGGACCAGCAGCCTGCACCTGTGGCCCCAGCGCAGCTCTGGGTCCACTGAGCCCTGTTCCTATGAGCAACTTGTGTCTCTGAGGCCAGAGAACTACGAGTTCAGTAGTTCACCAAGCCGCTCTGTTCCTCTCTGATCCATGTCTGCTTTCTTAGCGCCCTCTCCTTCCTTCACCCTTCCTTTTCCCCACCTTTTCTTACTTTTTGGGGGTGGTGGCAGAATCTTGTTGAGTAGCCCAGGATCCTTGACCCCAGGATCCTTCTGCCTCAGCCTCCTGAATACTGGGATCACAGGTATTGGCACGCTGACTGATTTTCCGTCTTCCTTTTCTTTTGTCTTCCCCTGTTCAGAGCTCCACGTAGCCCAAGATGATTTGAACTCCTAATCCTCCATCCTCTGCTCTCCAAGGGCCAGGATTACAGATGTGCACTGGGTCTTTGTTTCTCTGTCTTTAAGACACTTCCCCCTCTCCCCCATAACTAAAAGTACATCTAAAAGATCTCCAGATTACAAAAGTAAAGCAGACTTGCGATTCTGTAAAAATCTTAGACATTATAGAAAAGAACAACATTTTAAAAACCAGCCTGACTCTACCGTATGTCCCTCTTCCATCATCTGCAGAGAGAGACCACGGTGTGCAGGGAACGCAGAAGGGGCTCTACACCTGCCTAGTGCTCTGCTCACCCACCCAGGCCTCCACCTCCCATGTCAGGTGCCAGATGTGCTGCAGCGTCTGGAGCCATTGCAGTTTTTGATTGCTTCTATATTTTTTCTCTACCAAGAATGTTGCAGAAAACACTGCTAGTATGCCACCTGTGTTACC